AATAGAAGAGGGTAGAATGGAGTATTTTTAGAAATTCTGTCCTCCTTTTCATTTGCCCATATTTTTATAGACTTGTTAGTGCTTTTTTTAATGTTTATTTATTTTGAGAGAGAGTGTGTGCAAGCAGGGGAGGGGCAGAGGGAGATAGAGACAGATATATATATATATATATATATATATATATATATATATAGAGAGAGAGAGAGAGAGAGAGAGAGAGAGAGAGAGAGAGAGAGAGAGAGAGAGAGAGAGAGAGAGAGAGAGACAGAGAGAGACAGAGAGAGATAGAGACAGACAGAGAAAGAGAGACAGAGAGAGAGAGAATATCACAATCAGGCTCCATGCTGTCAGGGCTTAGCCCAACACAGGTTCAATTCACAAACCGTGAGATCATGACCTGATCTGAGATCAAGAGTCAGTCGCAGATGCTTAAGTGACTGAGTCACCCAGGCACCCCTACTAGTGCTTTTCTTAATAAAAAACTATTTTTAAATTTCCAAAAAGATCATGTTAAAAAATGAGGCAGCATGACACAATGACTAACAGGCTTTAGAATAGTTGGTTCAATATGCCTGTCTCTGCTACTGACTGGCTGAGCATTTTGGAGCAAATTATTTAACCTCTTTAGGCCATTATTTCCTCACCTGCAGAATGAAGACAATACTAGTACCTATCTAATTGGGCTATTGTAAGGAGTAAATAATAGATCTATGTAAAGTACTTACATTAAGTGCTCAGTAAATTTCATTGGTTTTATTCATGGTAACATGTTCCCTTTTTATACAAAGATATACCTGTGAAGTAGATACTCACAAACGTACACTCCCAAAAGTAGGTTGATTAATCTGGTGTATCTACCAGCCCCTCACACACATACACACACACTTTATTCACTGAGTCCCCTTGCGATAGCAGCACCCACATGTAAGAGGGGTAAAGCAACAAGGCATGAGATCTATTGAACAAGTTGCATGACCCTGGTCTCATCTAGCATCTCATGCCATCAAGTCACAGCTGAGCAGACACTATAATCAGAAGTTACTTAGGGTCTATGGCTGTGGAGATGGGTCTGATAATTCTGACAGTCCTGGAAGTTTTCTAGAGATAGGAAGGATCCAAAGTAATTTTAATGAGTAGCAACCTTACCAATGAGAGAGAACACACACACACACACACACACACACACACACACACACACACTCCAAGAAATACGACGTTTAACAGAAATATTAGGGAGGCTTTTCTGATCCCACACATTCTACTGGAGAGTCAGCTACATACTCACCAAGAAGGAATTCTCCTATCACTTCCCACTGTATAACACTTGACTGTCATGGTCATGATAAGCAACTGTAACTGATGAAAACATGTTGAAATGGAAAAACATGAGAAATTATCAGACTTGAAGGAAAACTGAAAATAAAATCTATCTCTTCTTTCTTTACACACACACACACACACACACACACACACACACACACACACACCACCCTGTGCTTCATGAACTTCTACATCACTCTAAATATTTGATACCCTTCCCCCAAGAAAGACAAGGGGGTCCCAGCAATCTTGTTCAGCTCACAATTAAGCCAGACCTTCTGCCATGCCACATCTCCTACTTTTCTTCCACCTCCCTTTTACCCAGCCCTATCTGTTGGGTTCTTCTGTGTGCTCTTGGCTCCTTTGGTTTCCACTGAGCACTGCAGCCATTGCTCTGGAGGACAACTTTCTCACTCTGAGCTCTGTTGGAGCCAATATGCTGACATCCTGAAGTTTCCAAAGTGTGTCCTCTGGGGTCCTCAGTTCACCAAAGCCACTGTGTTCCACCAGAAGTGGAACCTACACACTGTTGTGGCCTCTCCTTTCTAGCTGATACCATCACATCACAATACTGTTAGTGCAGGATGTCTTACAGAGTTTCACAAAAGATCCAATTTTCACCTTCCATCTCGTTCTTCTGGACCCAACACTCCATGAGAGCCTGGGCCAGAGGAAAAAGCCAGGTGGGAGTATCAATTACCCAAAAGTCTCCTCCCCTCTTATGTCCAATAGACTAAATCTCTTTCATTAGATCAAGTGTACCTGTTCCTTCCATTAGGATGACTTTTCTTTTTTTTTAATGTTTATTTATTTTGGGGAGAAAAAAAAAGAGAAAGAGAGATCTGGGAAGGGGCAGAGGATCCAAAGAAGGCTCCGCAGTGTCAATGAAGATCCCAATGTGGGGCTGGAACAATGAGATCATGACCTGAGTCCAAGTCAAACACTTAACCAACTGACCCATGCAGGTGTCCCTGAGGATAATTTTCTCCCAGGAGGTTCATCAAGCATTGATGTAAATACATTTCTTCAGGTTCTACCCCACCAAGAATCCCAATATGTCTCTAAGAAGAAAACATAGCTTAAGATCAAGCTGGGATATCCCCACACATAAACAGAAATAAACTTTTCCAGTTCCCCAGTTTCTCATCTGGTTTCTAAAGCTCCACATCTGATCTTCATAACTGACAGAAGATAAAGAGATCCCTGACATTCATCACGTCCAAAGCCCATCATTTTAAAAGTGTGAATTAGTAAACAAAGCCTGGGTGTTTGGAAATACACTTTGTCAATTAAGTATTGAATATAAAGCCACCTTGGTACAAAATTATGTTGCCTTTCACCTTCCCCTGTCCTTAGCTCTCTGCCTTTAAGACGGGCACTCTCATGGCTTTCCTCTTCCCTAACCCAGCAGTGACCTGGTCTCCAAATCTCCTGCCCCTAAACACTCTTCAAAATGTACTTGTCTTGGGCTAAACTCCCACAGACCTTGAACTTCTAAACTAGCCAGTTAAAATCTCTCACTGTGAGGGTGGATTGATGAACTTAACCCTGTAAGTTACCTTGATTAAACAGTGTTTTAGGAGCAATAGCTTAATCTCAAGGTCCTAGACAGTGGGGTCCAACCAGAAGCGGGGATGGTAAAGACAATACATCAGGAATGGTAAGCCTTTCCCTCTTGACCACCACCTTCTTGACCACCACCAACATCGTGACTACAGAGCCTGTCCTATTTTTATTTGATAACTTCCTTCTTATCTCCAGCAGTCTTTTTTAATTAGAAGGTAAGCAACATAACCACTAAAACAAGCATTAACGTCGTTTGGTTTTACTTTTCAACTGGTTCTCTATTCAATGTTCCTGATGCTTGTCATTTTTCTTACACCAGCTAAAACTTGAATGTCTCTGATCTTTGAGCGAACTCTCCAAAGAGCCCACAGTACTGGAGCTTTTTCCTTCTTTCTCCCCTGCCTCCAATACTTCCAGTCTGATGGTCATTATGAAATTAAGAAAACATTTAGCTCTGGCTTCCTGGAATCTTCCATATAAAAAAATTGGCAGGTATGTGGGAGATCAAGGCCCTTGAGGGAGTCTACATAAACATGTTCTCCAAAGAAGAGACATAAGCTTCCCTATCCTCAGCCCTAGAGCCAAGATTCTCTTCCCTTCACTAGATAAAGCCCATCATGTCTATAAGAGGCTTCCTGAGCCTTCCGGAGGAAGGCTTCACTATCATATGCTGACTCATTAGTGAGCCAAGCACCACAGCTGGAAAACAGTGCTCATTTGTGAGATCACAACATATAGAGACAAAAGAAGAGAGAGTCCTGATTGTATAATAATGATACAATTCTCATTATCATGTTTTCCTTCCATTTTTCAGTAACCAGGCATGCCTGTCCTTATAGAACTTCTCAACCAGTCTCATCCAACAGAGATTCTTGGAATAATTTAATCATATAACCAGAAAATTTCCTCTTTATTTTCATGCCTCCTTTTCAAGAAACAATGTAAAAAAAAGTGTTTGACTTCTCTGTAACTTTAAGGCAATTCAGGATGGGGGTGATGGTGGGGATGTCTAAGCTTCTGAGCTATATATAGTAAGTTCTTGGTGACTCTTTCAGAGCCTTTTGATTACTTGATTTATCTATCAAGTGATTTGCCCAAAGTTCACAAGGGTCCTATAAAACCAAAGCTAGAAGTTTCTTTAAGATGTCTAAAGTTCTGAATAAGATGATGAGAGAAACCTTTAATTTGCACCTCTGGCCAACACTATCCTTCTGCCCTGAAGTCTTCATCTTATTTCTCCAACATATTAGCTCAGATTCAGTTTGCTGTGAATAGCAGAAGATCCTAATGTGTATTCAGCAATGGAAAAGTTGATTTACATCTTAGTATAAGGGGTCTGGGTCAGGTCTATTTCTCCACAGAGTCAGACTCAAGTCCCTACTATATTATTGTTCCTCTGTGCCTCACCTCAACTTCATGGACCCACATGGTGGCTGCTACATTCCAGAAAGCAGGACGGAGGGAAGGATAATGAAGAGGTAGAAGCAAAGGACTCCCACATTATCTCTTAATAAGTTTATCAGAAGCTTTCACATGACATCTCTGCATATATCCCACTGAAAAAAAATTTAGTAACATGGCCAAATCTATATACAAGAGAGCCCAGGAAATAGGATCACCATCCCGAAGACCATGTCTAGTCAAAAGTCAGAAGTTCTCTTACCATGGAAAAAGAAGTGACTAGATATGAAGGATTACCAGTAGTCTCGTTCCCATTACCAACTATTATCGTAATATTCAAATGACAATGAATTTCGGATTCAGAGATGAGGCTGGCTGAAATGCTGGCAGTACATAGAGGAGCTGGTGACAGATGCCATGCTGAGAAAGAGAATGGATTGAAACAGAAACTAAAATTGAAACAGAAGTGAGACAGAGGATGAGGGAAGAAAAGAAGCCGAGGGTAAATTTAAGGATTATTTAGAACCTACCAGATCTCAAACCCTAAATCCACGGGAATTGAAAGTTTGAGAACAGTGTAGAGAAAGACAAATAAATCAACAGAACAGCATAGACTCCAGAAATAGTGTCAGATATGCATGTGAGGAAAGACAGATGATTTAGTAAATAGTGTGAAGACAGAGGGCCAACGGTTTAAAAAAAAAGTAGATTACCTCCTCTCACAACTTGAGTATTCCAGAAACAGTACCTGAAGCAAGGTTTAAGTGCCAATGCTTTTTGGAAGATGGAGGTCTAGAAGGGTGGGAGGAAAGGGAAGTGAGATACTGAAGGGTAGAAAGCCCTTACAAGGTAATGGGTGTGGAGCTGCTACTGCTTCATGAAGAGACACAACCAATCACACAGTCATGCAGGACATATACAGACACACTACACAAAAAAAGGGCCTCTGACAAGTCCATGGGAAGAGCAAATAGAGCAACTACCCGTGATCTCCTTCTGTCTCCTATTTCCCACTGGCCACAATGTTCATGGAATCCCAGTCTTATGCCTTGTACGTCAGAGGTCACCATTTCTACTGAACAGATCCCAAATAATGATTCTATAAGCAGGATAATGAGTTGCTTTCAAGCTCGTGACTTTAGAGATTCATAAGGGAGTTTGGCAGCTTCGAAAAATAAAGGTGTTTGTATTCAATTGTCCTTTAAACAGCAATGGCTAACTGGCCAGATGCAGTTAGAGATGCCAGGATTCACACCAGTTGCCAGAGGACTCATTCTTTTGCCTTTAATACCATGAAATTGAGCCAGTGAATGTTTTCCGGGTATTCATTTCCATAGTAATTTTCTTTTCATTCCAGAAGTTGGGGAAGGGAAAAGGAGTTTTCCTCCCCCCAGGGCAAGATCACTCCCATCTTCAATTGAGAAATCCAGTTTCAGATCAGAAATATCCATCACCCTATGCTTATTGAGCAACAAGAGTGTGGAGGGTCTTAGGCCAAGCTCCGGGCACCCAGTTGCTATTGACGCTCATGGTGAGATTCTAAATTCACCCAGCCTAGACACGCTTGATTTCCAATTCTGGCCAGGACTGACAAAAAGAAAAATAACTGGAGAAGCCAGAAATATGAAAATAATTTAGCAATTTCTGGAATCTATTAGTTTGGGCTTGATTTCAATTTGGGACAAAAAGCCAGAATTCTATTTGATCTGTACATTATAACCTAACAGTCCCTAGCTCAAAATGATAATGGTTGACAAGAGTCGTCCGTAGGTCTTTCCCCCATGGATGGGAGCTTAAAGAGCATTGAGATTTTTGTCCGTTTTGTTGACTAATTCATCCCAAGTGACTAGAACAGTACCTGCTACACAGTAAGGGCCGACAAATAATTTAATAAATAAATGAAATCTGTGGCAATATATATGTTCCCTTCCCTTCTCACTTGGACCTAGAGCGAACAAAAGAATAAATCTCTGATATGCTGCCATTATTTTACACCTAATTCCTTGTTTGTGAGGTTAGGACTATTGCAACAAAATTCTCCATTTGGAGAAAGGAGAAATCTTCTGAATTGACCCAAGTGTCTTTAATATTTCTTAGTCTTCGATTTGTTACTATGTGGAAATGCATCTCATGATTACTTTTTCACAGGATGGTTTTAAACTTTGTCTTTATAACTAGGTTCAGTTTAAAAGCAAAATACAGTTCATATTTCTTAAAAAAGCAAAGAAACTAATTCTGGCTAACTGGGGCAGGATAAAAAAAGGAAATATATTGGAAGAATACAAGTAGCCTCCAAAATTCAAGGAAAAATTAAATGATGAAACTCAGAAAGAAGAGAAATTAAGGCAGCTCTGAGAATATAAGGAAAAGAATTAATGAACAGCAAGCAGGGTGCATCTGCTTGAGGACAATCAAGTACAGTAGTCAATAGTTGTATTCAGTACTTGATTCCAGGCAAAAAGACTAAAGAAGTATGAGGCCCCTTAAAAGATTCCCACCAATACCGCATACAATGGGAAATGCATATTCTGAAGCAGAGGACTATTCCCAGCAAACCAGGGAATGGACCCTGAACAGGCAAAATCTATTCCTTAACAAGAGCCTTCATCTAACCTGGTGACTCAACCAGTACATGACCTACAATTAAAAAGCAAATTTGGGGGCACCTGGGTGGCACAGTCAGTTAAGCATCTGACTCTTCTTGGTTTAGGCTCAGGTCATGATCTCACCATTTGGGTTCGGTTCAGGTCCTGGGTTCCAGCCCTGAATGGCAGCCTGCTTGAGACTCTCCCTCTTCTCTGCTTCACATCCCCCCACCCCCGCCATGTTTGTGTGTGCACTCTCTCTCAAAAATAGATAAACTTAAAAAAATAAATAAAAAGCAAATTTCACTATGAGCTTTACTCAAATGAGAAAACACAACCAACCTCCATGAAGGCAAACTCTGGTAACAGATTTAAATAGCAACTAAGATAGTCAGATTAAAACAGGCCATGCTGCAAAATGTATATACAATTGAAGATTAGTGTTGCATTCAGGAAAATTCCCCTCCCCCACCACAAGATGGAAGCGTTCTAAAATGTGAAAGCAAAGTACCTTATTTAAACACGTAGAGCCTTCATTTTAAGAATGGATTTGATCACTGAAGCAGATTCATACAGTCCCTTGCGATAGGCATTTCCTGGCACACAGCCATATCTTTGGTCTTTTCAAAATATAGGAAATTCCTGCTTTGCCTAATGGCATTGAACTATAAAACAGCTATGCTATAGGAGCTGACACTATGCAAAACGGTCTGAGTAATCAACGGGAAAAATCACAATTATTCCACGGCCTTTAAAAATCTCTGTCAAAACTTGAAAAGCTTTGTTCATTATGAATGTATAGAAAAATGAAAAAAAAACCAGTAAAACTAATATTTATTTAGCATACCATAACTTAAAAATTAGAACCGTTGAAAATTAAAATATTTTATTTCCTTGTAAGAAACAACTTAAAAACAAGAGCTTAAACAGGGCTTGCTTTCTTTTTCTCAGAGACCCTTTAGGAAAGGAGAGTTCTTTTCTCTGCTTTGACAAATTGTCCTACTCTTCTCAGTTTGATGGCTTCCAACATTTTATCCTTTGTGCTTTGCTTTCAGTGTTGGGAAACATCTCCAAGAGCTCCTTTAACATGAAGACTTTTTTGCTGGCATCACTTCCTGTAGGTCATCTTCCTGCTTTTTGTGTAAAATACTACCTTCCTTTAGGTTTGCAGGATCATTTTCAGTAAGATCCTCCGGCTACATTTCTGGAGGGTCTATAGAGAATCTAGGGTCAACAATTGCACAGCCAGCTGGTCTTCTGTAACTTCATTTATACTGGGTTCAAATGTCACTTCCGGGGGCACGTGGGTGGCTCATTCGGTCAGGCGTCCGACTTCCGCTCAGGTCACATCTCATGGTTTGTGGGTTCGAGCCCCACGTCGGGCTCTGTGCTGACAGCTCAGAGCCTGGAGCCTGCTTCGGATTCTGTCTCCCCCTCTCTCTGCCCCCTCCCCTGCTCATGCTCTGTCTCTCTCTGTATCAAAAATAAATAAAAACGTTAAAAAAAATGTTTTTTAAATGTCACTTCCGGCATCATCAAATTCTGTTCTTGGCTGCGTTTTTGTCTTTGTTGTCCAGTTCTCTCCTTTGATTATTCTTTTTTGTAAAATGACACTTCGTGACCAAGTGACAAGGAGACCACATGATTGGTCACTCACCATAAAGTGTGTCTGTTATTTACCGAGTCATCTGTAGACTGAGGATGTGGCAGGAAAGTTGGTACTTTATGCAAATACTCCATTAACAGAGTAACTGAAATTTGAACTGTGTGGTTGGGGGACAGGGGTAATTCAAGTACACCAGGGTAACTGAAACCCATATATATCACAAACGTGCAGCGAGGACTCCCTGCACTGCAAAATATTCTGCTAGAAGCCTTTTAGTGGGTCCTGAAACTTTGTATGGGCATTTTTGTTATCCTATTTGGGGTGAATTCTTAGATGGGAATCCAAATACCATGTCCTATCAGTATTTGCCTATAACCGTAATAAAGAGAACTTACAGTTGGCACCCGAATTGGAATTATCTAAAAATCTTATTTTTGGCCCTCTGCCAAATATGTTAGATCTTTTTTTTTTTTTTTTTGACGTGTTTATTTTGCCTGAAATGAAACAAGATATCCTTTGCTTGTATCTAGAGGGTTAAAACTGGTGAAATGCTTCCTACTCATCCATTAAGACTCAACTCAATGTCACCTCCTCCATGGGTCTTTTCTAGCATCACCAGCCAGTTATTCATAAATCCTTCAAGGACCCCATGACACCCCCTCCAGACCTATGTATGGCTCTCCCTACACTGTACTGTCACTCTTGGGAGCACATAAAGAGATCTTGAAGGACAAAGATTTCTTCTTCTTTACCTTTATATCCCTGTACAGAGCCCAGTCCATATTAGATGCACAAATATTTCTTCAATAAAGAAATATCTCAAAGATTTCTTTTAAAAGTTTTTTTTTTCCCTTTTCTAGTAAATAAAAGGATGCCTGCTAATATGAGATTCTAACTAATAGAAAGGCCTCAGCGATGGGAGTCTGGGTGGTTCAGTCAGTTGGGCGTCCAACTTCGGCTCAGGTCATGATCTCACAGCTTGTGAGTTTGAGCCCCGCATGGGGCTCTGTGGTGACAGCCCGGAGCCTGGAACCTGCTTTGGATTCTGTGTCTCCCTCTCTATCTGCCCCTCCCCCACTCATGCTCTGTCTCTTTCCTTCAAAAATAAATAAACATATGAAAAAAAAAATGGCCTCAGCAGAAGAGCTGAGAGATCCAGTCTGGAGTCCTAGCATTTACATCCAGGAGCTCCAGAACCCAACTCCAGATTCTGGAGGACATCTTGTGTGTGATGGCTAGGATGAGCTGAGGGAAGCCCAAAGAGAAAAGATCTCAAACAACCTACTATCTGCATATGGGCTCTGCTGACTCACAATGGCTTTGGTGTTTCCAGCCTTCTGAATTCGTAATGGTTAACACATGGGGCAAAGAGTTATGAAAAAACATATCGGTCAAATGGTTCAGCGTATAAATCTGAGGGAAATGCTTTTTAAATCAAATTGAGACAAACATCTGTCTTGCTCCTTTTGCAAAGTACAGAATGTTCCACATGGACTAATCAAACTTTATAGCACTACTATGTAACCTTGTACATTTCCTAACATCATGTCTCTCCTAGAGTTGTTGCCTGTTGGAAAGTTGTCACAGACTGAACTGTGTTT